CAATAAACCTTACCACAATTGCTCACATCCTCCTATGTGTGGGTCCCTGAAATGCTTTTCTTTTGACTCCATGGAACGATCCTATTTCCAATGGCAACACAAGGATGATGGGCCAGGTACAGGAGGTCACCAGGGCAGAAAGCCCTGGGTGCCTAGCAACCACCAAAACTGGGAAAAACAAGTAGCTTGCCCCCAGGGTAATCTTTCCTCCCCTAGCATATCTCTGGTCATGTGGTTTAGACCCCATGACCTTTCATATCATTGGTCATGCAGGCTGGACCCTCCCCTGACCTTTTTCCCCCTGGCATGTAACTAGTCCTGTGGTAGACCCCCTTGGAGGAGGAACACAAGTCAGAGGGTGGCCTCATGTGACTCCCCTGCAGGCCCTTGTACAACTACTCCCTTAATCATTAACCCCTAGAGATAACATCTAGGCCTCAGTTGTGTTTCAGCTTCAATCCCAGAAAAGCAGCAAAACCAGACCAGCTAACAACCCCCTCCCTGGAGCTGACCAATCAGTGGAGACCACAACTGGACACGCCTGGAAAACTGATGAATATTCTGTTAAGATCCTTCCCTGTTACCTCCTCTAAAATCCCTACCCTTAAAAGCCCTAGGACAGAGGACCCAGGGCACTCTCACTCTTGGGACATGCCTTTGCCTTTTCCATCCCCATTTTCTCCCCAGTAAGTGTGTTACCTGTATCTTTCTCTCTCCTAAACTCCAAGGGCCCCTTCTTTGCCTCTGTAACTTGTTTCCTAAGCCCATTTCTTCTACAACTCACTTCTTCTATCTCTGTGACTTTCTAAATAAACTTTCTTTTATTGTTTGAGTCTTGACCCTGAATTCTTTCTTAGCCAGAACTCAAGTACCAAGGTTGCTGAAGTCCAGCCTGACTCCACCAGTCTAACACCTGGTGCCATTATTGCTGCCAACAAAACTATGCCTCTCATCATTAAATATTTTTCTGAAAACATAGTTACTTTTTCACAAAAATACTATTTATGCTGACATGTAAGAAGCTTATTTTTATTTTTTATTTTTTAACCCTCCCCCAAGGATATTTTTTCCATTGCTTTGCAGAGACAGTGGAAGGGAGAGAGAGAGAGAGAGAGACATTAATGTGAGAGACACATCGATTGGCTGCCTCCCACACATACCCCAACCAGGGCCAGGGATCGAGCCTGCACTTGAAGTATGTGCCCTGGCCACACTTGAACCCGGGACTCTTCAGTCTGTAGGCTGATGCTCTAACCATAGAGCCAAACAGGCTAGGGTGAAGTTTATTTTTAAATAAATTATTTAAATAATTAGTGATTAAATAATTTCTTAATTACATATAATAGTTCAAATAAAGGTTTAATTAAATAATTAACTAAATTTTAAATAAATTAATACCTGTACAATTTCTCAGTTTTAATGTCTTATACGGTATTAATAAATATTACAGTAATAGATAATACGGTAACTCACATAAACTAATGCTCTTTGGGATCCTTAATAATTTCTGAGAGTGGAAAGAGGTGCTCAGATCAAAAAGTTGGAGGTGCTGCCCTAATGCATTTTGATCATGGAAGCCTTTCTCTGGGGAACACCTTGAGTATATCTTATGGAACATACAGTGGGAAACACAATCTCATGCTGTGCTTATGAAATTATTCCTTTATGTGCCTCTTCTCCCTAGACATTCCTCAGTAAATTAATTTATATTCTGATCAACGAGTTTCCCCTCAAACAGAAGTTTTGTGCTTATGTCCTCGGCAGTTAATGCATATATCTTCTCTGGCAAACATAGTTGATGTTGACCTCATCTATTTAGAAGAGGTCTTAATCTAGAGGATTATTTCACTGGGCAAATGTTACAAATAGTCAAGAGAAACGATGACACAGGTTAAACTGCTCCTACAGCAGATAATCCTCTGTTATGAGATACAGTGCCAGGGATATCCCAAGAACATAAGAAATATCGCACCAGTTGGAATCATGGCCACTTTGGTTTAGCATCTGGTTTCCAACAACAGAATCACTGATTGAAGTACCTATGTTACAAATTGCTCTTTTACAAAATGAGCAGGATGACGGCAATTTATTATTCCAAGTACTGACAATTTGCATTTGCAAAAATTGTATGTGAGCCAAAAATAACTTAAGAACTAATTCATATTTCTACCATGCTTTTTAGAATATAGAATGAGGCCAATTCTCTACTTTTTGGCAAGACTGGAAGCCCCAATTACAAAATTTACTTATAAATCTCTTCTTCCTGTCAGGTATCTGAATGACTGGCCAGAAGCCTATTCTCAGATGGCTGCAAAAGATTATGCGGAAAAGTCAAAAGGGTAAAGTGCTGAAGAATTCTGTGCAAAAAACTCCCTGAGGAAACTCAGTCCGTATATAGAGCTGGCCTGGAGCACAGGCTGTTCAGTCCTCTAATTTTCATTCTGGAATTTGTCCAAATAACAGAAGCCATTACGTTTATTTATGCAGTTTTTTAAGTGTCTAGTTTATAAAATGTTGCTTTTTTAAAGATGACCAGGATCTCATCCTGAAAGCGGAAGACACTCATCTTAATCTCTTTTTTCTTACTGAAGACTTGAAATTAAATTAGCATATAGTTGGCTTCCAGTCAAACTTTCTTTGATTAAAATGTTTTTATAGCCATAAATGCTTAGTAAGTTTCAAGTCCTGTTCTACTCATTAGGTCCTCCCAGCAACTCTATGAGATAGAGACTATAATTATCCCCATTTTACAGATGAGGAAATAGGCTCAGTGTTGCCTGAGGCCACCCAGTTTATAGGTGGCAGACAGGACTAAAGAAGAGAGTGATGAAATAAAATGGACTCACTACAGTTAAGCTGCTGAATTGCTATTCTTGTTCTAACAAGCCTAGGAACTAAAACTTTTGAACTTTCCAGTCCTGTGTCAATGCTTGAATATCCAAACCTCCCAATAACCCTCTGATTAGCCCCTGAAGGTCTAAAGAAAATGTTCATGTATCCAGACTGCCTGACATTGGATCCAGACCACCAATCATCTAAAGAATTAGCACTGCAGACCAATCCAGAGGCTAAGATTGCAGGACTGATTCTTCTCAAGAATGTACTTTTTACTCTAAGAAACCTCCAGCTTTTCTTTCTTCTTCAGAACACTGTAAGTATTGCCTATTAGTGTTTCTGGTTTGCAAGCCCTAAGACCTTGAATAAACATTCATTTCTAGCCAAAACCCCCTGATTCATTTACTCTTGGTGGGCAACTGGAATCCAGGAAGTTAGTCCCTCTGAACCTCCAAACTAGGATGCCACCCTACCTATCTGTGATGCTTGGGTGGTAACATTAAATGATTTACAGTGAGAAGATACCCACTTTTGCGGGGAGGATAATGGTTTTAAGCTCCAGATTAGCCTTTATTTCAAAAACACTTCCTTACACTCTGGTGTGTTAGGCTCCATTCTCTGTCTTCCCCGTCATAACACGACCACATGGCATTTATCTATTGAGGCGTCTGCCTTCCTTCCAGCCTGTACTAATATCCTCTCACATGGTACCGGGAGCAGCAATCACTAAATGAATGAGTAAAAGAACCAAGGAATGATCAACAAGAGTGAATTTCCACAAATCTACTTAGCCTCCAAGAGCATTAATTTCCAAGTGAGTTCTATGCACCCTGGAAGGTAAGCAAAAACGGCCAGTGGGGTGCAGGGAGGAAACGTGAGCATTGCTATTTCCATTCACTGACATTTACCACATAGATTGACACTGGCACCCTCACGTTGCCTGTGGCGGACGGCACATAGGGGGCCTGGCACAGGCATTCCTCAGTTCACCGCGTGAGCAGCGGGGCCCTCACCTGTTTGCTTTCCACAGTCTGTGCCAAATTGTAGTTCACAGGGGCCCAAGTGAGAAAGTGGATGTAGGGATTATATCTTCAATTTTTTCTGAACTAACCCTCACAGATTGGGCTTTCAAAGAATCTTACACAGAAGTGCAAAACATGCCAACAATACAAGCACAAATGAACAGAGAGATAGTAGAGCTGGTGACATTTTTACCATTTCTCATATAATATTTTTCTCAGCCACATCATGAGATATAACAATAACAAGCTAATCCTATATACGTGAACTTGGCAAACAAACAAAGAAACAAAAAAAATCCACCTTGGAAGTATCACATCTTAGATTCATATCCACTGTTCTTGCGAATGGTCCTTTCCTAAGTGAGTACCATGCCTTGGGAAGCTGGCTAATAATATTCTTATACAGTTTATAAATAAATACATTTTTATTAACAGCATCAAAAAAACAGGGAGCTCACTGATGTAGAACTTTGCTACTCAAAGTGCAATCTGCAGAAGAACCAGTTCAGCATCACCTGGCTACTCGTTGGAAATGCAGAGTCTTAGGCTCCACCCCAGACCTACTAAATCAGAGTTTGCACTTTAACAGGATCCCCAAGTGATTGAGGGGCATGTTTCTGTTTGAGAAGCACTGCTTTAGAACACGCTACTTAAGTGATTTCAATCCTGAAAGTTCAGCTCTTATTTGTAAGTTTAGACAGATTTCGCTTTTGAATTTTTGACCTCATAAACTTACAATTTTTTTTTTAATATATCTTTATTGATTTCAGAGAGAGGAAGGGAGAGGGAGAGAGAGAGATAGAAACATCAATGATGAGAGAGTCATTGATCGGCTGCAGCCTGCAACCCGGGCATGTGCCCTGACCGGGAATCAAACCCTAATCTGGATCCTAGGTCGACGCTCAACTGCTGAGCCACGCCCGGCTGGGCATAAATTTCTAATTTCTAATATCTGTTATCAAGTGTTCTTCAAGACTATAAAGAAACTATCCCCATACACCAAAACTCCAGTGAAATAATCTGCATATAACTGCAGCATTAACTCTTATTCATTCCAGTGTATGTAACATAAACGCCTGGGCCCCCATACATTAAACACCACCCAGCCACACCTTCATGGTTTTGCTCCCCACCTCCACTTACTTTTGTTTGGTCATCAGCTTTGAACACGTAGCAGATGCTCCGCCTATTGGCTGCATTGTCCTTAATCAGACAAGCGAAGTAACTTGGGTCGTGACTGTTGTGAATCAGTTTGTGTACGTCCTGAGGCTTACACTCAAAGATGCTGGAACAGATCAGTGGATCCCACTGCTGAGTCTTCCCGGGCTCAGGTTCACATCTCAGTCCAGAGGGCGAGACAAAAAGCCGGACTTGCTTGGTGCCAGGCTCCTTTTTGGAGGACTGCCCACTGAGCCTTCGCACCTCTGCAACGACCCAGGGCAGCATGGGCATGGTGGTCAGAGCGTGAACAGGCAGGGAGCCCACCAGCTGGAGGCTGAAGTCCACCCAGGCCTCGGTAGGGAACGGATGCTTCCTCGCTGTGAATGTTATTGGTTCCATCTTGGGAAAGGTCTGGAAACGCAGCAGAACGTTGCCGCTCTTTTCTATTTTGAACCAAGCAATCTATTTTACGTGCTTCTGGTGCAGAATCCTGGGGGAGAAGCACAGAGGCATTGGAATTTGATGACGTCACAGCAAAAGCTACTCTCAAAGAGTGGTTATTTCAGAAGACCTTAAAAGTCTGAAAGCCAACTTGGGGTGGCCAACACACAATACAATATGCAGCTGATGTAGTATCGAATTGTACACCTGAAACCTATATAATTTTATTAACCAATGTCACCCCAATAAATTCAATTTTAAAAGTCTGAAACCCAAACATAGGAAGAAATGGATATTAGTTCCAATAAGCTGCTCTGCCAAGGAAAGAGCTTTCTTGAAATTGCATCTCATATAAAACCCGAATATGCCATAAATGTCATATTTATGACGGGTTACAAAGATCCCACCGGAAACCTCCTGTTAAACTTGAGTGTCATAGAGCCCACAAAGCACTATGGAAAACAGCATAATGCTACTCAGACAGCCTGAAACACTGTGATGTTATTTAACATATGTTTCAAGGAGCTGTGTTGTTTTTTTAAGATAATTAAATGTAGTACTGGTAACTCACAACCCCCCCCCACGCCAAAAAAAGTAATCTCGCAGAAGAAATATCAGCTAAGCATCATCATAGTCTACTGAACCAGACCAGTTTTAACACCTTATCTATTGCTTATGATACCATTTAAATTTTAAAAGCCTCTCCCTCATGTAGTTGAGGTTCTGAATCACAAATTCAAATTCCATTAACATGTACTTGTTGCCCATCATATTCCAAACACTGTGATAAATATCGTTTTGTTTCATTCATGCAAGCCATCACCCAACACCTAGCCCATCCTCATCAATAGAGAATGTGGTTTCTTCTAGACCCAAACTCTCTCAACCACCTTCCCCTCTGTATGAGTGATTTTCAACAACCGTATCTGATGTATCCTAATACCTTGTTCCACTGGATGACAAAACCCTTCTGTTCAGGGCTGAGCTGTCTACAGCCCCTCAAGCCCTTTACTCTACTCATTTGCCCCTGGACAGGCATTCTGTCATGTAGTTCCTGAGTATACACACGCCGAGCAGGAACTCAATAAGGCAGGGGTCACATCTATCTGACTCACCATTCTATCCCTGGTGCCTGGCACAGAGCCTGACTCAGAATAGGCCCAATAAATATTTTAAAGGAGTGAATGAAGACTCTCCCATCCTAAAAATAAAGATATTTCCCCTTGACCTCATACCTCCCCCAGCCACAACTCTTCCTTCTCTACACAAACTTCTTCAAGATAAAGTCTATGTGGTCTCCACTTCCTACTGTCCATCCACAATCTGGATTATGACTAGAAGCACCAAGGAGCTACTAAAATTGCTCCTGAGGAGGTCACCCACATCCTCTGGTTGTGAAATCCGAAGGGGGCTTTTTAGTTCTTAACTGTATAATACTTTCTGATTAATTTCTCAAAGCTGACTACTCCCCTTCCTGCTTAAAACTTCTGGTTCTCATCTTATCTCTCTGGGTTGCTTCTTTTCAGGTTCTTTGATGACCTTCTTTCCCTGTTCCTCTCATTCCACCTGCTTTCTTTGGACAATTTCAGCTAATCTCTTGGTGTCAATAACCACATTCCAATACTCCTGCTGCTAACAGCTTACTTTTATTATGTACCAGGCACACTGCATGTGTTATCTCATTTCATCTTACAACAACTTTCATCTCTAACCTTAGTCTCAGTTAGAGACTACTGTTAGTGCCACTTTTATGATCTAGGGAACTAAAGCTTGGAGAGCTTGAGTCATTTGTGTGAGTCTACACCTCATTCTCAACCTATCCTCTTGAGTGCTGCACAAAAATGCATCTATGATTCCTAAGTGTCTGCCTCCCATTGAACCTCAAAGAACTACAGATCAGTGCAAGCCATTAAATATTTCTATCTGGGTAGCCTATAGGCACCTCAGTCTCAATTTAATTATTTTAAAACTAACCCAGTCTCATCTTTCCCCTTTTCCCTTCCCAAAACTTCTCTTCCTTTCTATAAGCTATACCTCTGTGATCAGCATCAATATTTATATTATTGGTGAAGCCACAAGCCAAGGAGTCATTGTTATAGACTAATGGCTTGTGTCCCCCCTCTCCCCAAATTCATATGTTAAAAATCCTAATTTTCAATGTGATGATATTAGGAGGTCAGGTCTTTCAGGGGTGATTAGGTCCTGAGGGTGGAATCCTCATGAATGGAATTAGTGCCCTTCTAAAAGAAACCTAGACAGCTCCCTTGCACCAAGCTCAGCACAGAAAACATATGGCAGCCTATGAACTAGGAAGTGGGCCATCACCACACTGAATCTGCCAGCACTCTGATCTTGAGCTTCTCAGCCTCCAGAACTATGAGAAACTAATTTCTGTTGTTTATAAACCATCTAGTCTATGGTATGCGGTTATGCAGTCTGAATACACTAAAATAAATCATTCAGATTCCTTCTTCATCCTACCACTATTTCTAAGCTGACTCTACGTATAAATATATCTTCTCTTTTCTCATCTGGAGAAAAAGTGTCCCAACTGTCAATCCATCCTTCACATATTTCCTAGAGCAATTTAGCAGACACACAAAATTGATCATGTCACTCCTCTGCTAAAAATTCCTTAATAATTGTCTCCATAAAATCTAAAGTCTTCTACAGGGTATATAAGGTCTCTTAGCAATCTGATCCAACTATATGCTCCCCTCAAATGCCCTCCTTCATGTACCTTTAGGCTCTGAAGGTAGAAAACTAGTTATGATTCTGCACACGAGGTGTGATTTCTCATGCCTCTGTGCCATTGTGCATACTGTTCCTCTCTCCCAGGAACACAATACCTGGGAGAGAACACAAACTGTAAGGGATCTGAGATTTTAACAGGTTAGCCTGTCACAGTTAGCCTGCTGGTAGGAGACACGAGACTCCTGGGTCTGAGACAAAGGACAAGTATTACTCAGATCAACAGGCAATCAGCATTTGTGTCAGTTCCCGAGCCCCAATTCCCACAAGCCAGGTGACACCTGTATCTACACTGGGTTATAGAAGAGACACCCAAATATTACATAATGGGAAGTAAACATGTCTGCCCTTTGCTCCAGAGGGAGAAGCAATGTCTGTCTTCATGGCTATTTGCTGTTTTTAAGAAAAGACAGAAAAGATAGTTCAGGACAAAGGGAGGTAATGCCTCTGCTCACAATGTGTGTAGAAACATGAAAGACCCATGCAGAATGATTCCCAATGATTCCAACTCTTGTCCTCTAAATTAATCCCAGCACACATTGAAGTCATAGGTCAAACAACTACCACCTCTTTCTTGCAAGATGACTTAGGGCATCCATCACCACAACCTTCTGCACTTCGTATCTACTCATCACATTCACTTTAAGAGTTTGAAGAGGTGTCCCCTCAACAAGACTGAAAATTTCTTAAACTCTTCAGGTTTGGAATTTCTAAAACCAGTATTGAAATTCTAAACCTTTTCTGAATTAGGAGTCTCTTCTTTTTACTCTGTGTTTTCCTATGATATATAGGCATATATGCTCAGAGTGAATTTTTATAATATAACTTGAACTTAGCTTAGAGCTAGCTTTTTCTTTTAAATGTTCAAAAGTTCAGAAATGAATTCTTGCACTGCTTAGAGTTCCAACATATTTCATGAAAGTGTATTCCCTGTCTCTTTACCTTTAAAGTACAGCTTCTCTTGATGATGAGAACAGACTTGAAGTTCATACAACCCCATAAATAATGGTCTCTCTCTTTTTTCCTCTCTCTCACCTACAGGTGAAAGTGGCATTAAATGTCTGGGTCAGTGCCCACTCCTGTAACTGAATCTGTGTTTCAAGTTCAACCGTTGACAGCTGCTAATCCTAAGGCATGATTAAAGAAGCACTAGAATTATTACAAAGGGTAGACCTGAGGTCTGTCAATCAGTGTAGATGAAGCAGTTATTAATATGACGGCAACGGCATTGCAGAATTACTTTCAGTTCTCTTATATGGGGATATATACACAATGCAAAAAGTACACAGGTTAGTCATTTCAATCATTCGGTAAATAGTCATCAATCAGTTCTGCCATTTCACTAACAAAACTATTTAAATGATTAAAGTTTTCACTTTTCAACCAGCTGGGGTACATTCCTAGTATCTCTGTAAAAAGTGGGCTGGACCTTAATACTGTCTATAAACTATCAAATAAGTTCTAACTCAGACATAGTCGTAATTACTTATAAGCAATTCTGATTCTGCTGATACAAGATGCATAGTAATAGACCAGGTAACTGTATTACTTTTCAATAAAAAGTTTAATGAAACAGATGAACTATTCAAATACTATCAAACTGTGTTAGCCAGTTTGGCTCAGTGGGGACTGAAGTGTCCTGCGTTCAGTTCTGACCAAGGGCACGTACCTCAGTTGCAGGCTCAATCCCCAGACCCAGTTGTGGCAAATTCAGGAGGCAATCAATCGATGTGTCTCTCTCACATCGATGTTTTCTCTCTCTCCTTTCCACTGTCTCTGAAAAGCAATGGAAAAAAATATCCTCTGGTGAGGATTAATAATAATAATAATAACAAACCATTTGATTATTTTTTAAGCCATCTCAAGCCACATCATTTGTACACAACCTCTGACCTTTAAGCTCCAGGTTGAACCACCTATTCCAAGAGGCCTCTTGTGCCTTATACCCTCAGTAATGATCTGCTATTCCAGTGAGCTCCAGTTACGTTCTTGTTTGTAGAAGCCCGATCACTTACAGAGACCGTCTGTGTTCTACACAGCTCCTACCTACCACAGTCCCTAAACATGCTAGGTATCTGGAACACAAAGATGCTTTTCATTAGAACAGCTTCAATAATCTGTTAGTGAATCCTGCTCAACATATTCCTGGAAGCCTGCACTTAGAATCATTCCATCTTAAAGCTAGAAACAGCCTTTTAAGCCATTTAGAAATGCCCCTCATATTTGAAATGAGGAAACTGGGTTCTGAAGAAGTTGAGTGGCTTGTCCAACTTTGGTGACAGAATTAGGACAATCCAAGTC